ATATATATATTTGTCCAAATTTTGTTAAATTAAATATTAAATTAACTATCCGACGAAATTCAAACTTACGTTATCGATGGTACTATTTTATACTTTATACTAGTTGAAGATTTTCCTCATCATCAATTAGCGTCCCTTTTGGTTCTCCCAATCGCCCAGTTAATTCGATGTATGACCTTTTGGTTCTAAGCGTTCAATTCCCTTTTTTGACATGTGTTGTGGGCATGATTAATGGTGTTATTTAACTTGATGATTCGGTTGAAAGCCTCTTAGTTGACATTCAAAGTTTGCAAAAGTAATCAGTAAATTTTTTTTGCTTCACGTGTTTGTAATAAGAAAACATATTTAGTGGCTTCTTGTTTCGAGGTTTGAGCCATAGTGGTTTTTATACTTTGGTTTTGCCACTCAATACTACAGTTTAGTGATATTTCTCTTCATTTGTTAATAAGATGTCTTAGATTTGATTCTCACTAAAAGCGAATTTGAACTATATTATTACTAACTCATTGTGAGGTATACCCCACTCCCATAATGTATATAATATCGTTTGTTAAAAATAATACTTTAGCCTATGAGGCAAATTTTTCTATTTGAATCTAATGAAATTTTTGTCATTTAAAATAAAATCATGAGTAATTTCTTGAGAACTTTAATGAAAAACTCTCGGTACTGTTTATTTTAACGAAAAATCACATTTTTACACTAAAAAGTCAATAATGGTACTATTCATTTTACCATTTATTTTATTCTTATCATTAAAACTCAAGGTTTTCAAGCATTTTTCATTAGTTTTTCTTAATTTCTTTGCTTGATGAGTTTAAATGATTGACCAATAATGAGAAATTTCAATGCGGCAAAAACACAATTTGGTAGACCAAATATCATATTACAAGTAGTTGGATACTTAAAAAAAAAATTCAACTACTTATATTATTAAACTTAGTGTACCGAGTAGTATTCCCACACCATAGAAAATCTCTCACCAACAGAGAAGAACTTCACAGATCGAGGCCGAAAGCATTAAATCCACACTACTTAGTGAATCCAAAACGGATGCATTAGCTACATAGTGAAATCTAACATAGATGCAATACTCATCAAAATTTGGCACTATGCATTTCCTTGTGAATCTGACACGGATGCACACAGCATTGACTGCGGTCTCAGCACATAGTCGTTCACGTGAGAATTTCTAAAATGGTAAATGTGATTTTAATCCTTGCTTAAGATTATAATTAGAAAAATGTCTTATACAAGATTAAATATTGATTATAGTCCTTTGACTATACATCCATGTCAATATATATTATCCATGTCAGCTTTTATTTTTTTGGTGGTTTTATTGATTCTATTTTTCCAACATTGCCCATATGTGATTATGGACAATAACAAATTTTAAATGCTGAGTTAAGAGTGTGCAATTATTACTTAATATATTTTCAATTTTTGTCCATTTTAAACACAAAAGTTCAATTGTATGAATCTTTCATCGTCCTCTTCTATGGTGTTGTGCAGATTCGTTTCTTTGTCTAGGAAGTTTAGCATTTTCACTAAAATCGTGTACATGGGTTTTTGTTAGGATTTGTTGTTTGTTTGTGGAATACTTGATATATTAGTTCAATATTTGTATATGATATGCATATGTGTACTGCACATGGTTTCAAATGGTTCTCATGCCATTCGCTCCTCTATATTTTGGGCGCACTATAGAAAATGAGGTACATTAATCCAACATAGGTACCATGGTTGAGGTACATTAAAATTCTAATAATGTTTTTTTAATTTGCAGGTACCATGTATTAGGTACGATGATATAGGTGCCATGCTATAGGTACTGTGATATAGGTACCATGATTTAGGTACATTATTTACTTATTTGGTATGATGTATTCATTAAAATTTGATTTCTAGAGTTTTGTTTCGTTGTGATATGAAACTTTTTGAATTCTAATCAATACTTTCGTTTTCTTATTTGGTATGTATCTGAATTTCTTATTTTATAGGAGGAAATGAAGCCCTCAAATCAAATATTAATTGTGGGGGTATTTTAGGAACTAAAATACACATAAAGACATTAAATCCAATGAAATATGAGTTTTAATGTTAATTCTGAGGTGGACATCCAGTCAAGGGACTAATTTAAAATTTTTATCTTGTACCAGGTTTTTATGAAAAGTTGAACTATGCCAAGGATTAAACTCCACTTACCCCTTTCTAAAATTAGGTTTCAAAAATAGAGCCTTTTTTTTCTTACGAGAAGTATTACTACTTTAATTTGCACTAATTTGAAACCAGGATCGGGGTGGGTTGAAGAAAAATGCATTAATTACCATGAAAAATCCTTGTGGTCCAAACAGAGTTAAAATGGATTGTAGAGTTAAAATTAATAGCAACAGGATTAACTATGCCCACTATCAGCCCTAAAGAGTTAATTAGGCTTAAATGTGATTTCAATAACATTGTCTTCAGGTTTTAGAAGTCAAGGCCAAAAGTGTTCATTCCTCAACCTAATTCGTTCGATTTAGAAGTTAGCATCGCATTTCATCACATCACCACATTCAAGTTATTCGCCCTGCAGAGCTCAGCCACGGATTGGAACGATTGCATCGGCATTTAAGCTACCGTAGGACGTAGTTAGCTCCTAGTTACTTCGGCATGTGCACAACGTAGGCCTTGTAATTTTCAGGGTCAATATTTTGGCACGTTCGAGCACTGTTTGATACTTTGACTTTGAATAAACTTGAGGTTCCACTACAATTTGACACTTTGATTTTGAATAAGATTGAGGTTCCAATATAAAAGCAATTGGCAATGAGGAGTAATACAACTATTTATAAGCACATGTCAAGTCCAGTTTTCAAGTCTTAACTCGTCGACAACGCAAATGGGTGATGTAGAGCATGTACTTATTTGTTGGTTTCACACGTGAGACAACCTGCTCTAATACTATAAAAAAATGAGGCTCCACTATAAAGCAATTGGTAATATGAGGTAAGTCATTTCTTTCTCTGACATGGAATTGATAGTCTCAACAACTTTGTTTGCTTATTTTATGGAAGATTTGTTGTTGTTTAATTTGCCTCCATAATCCATATATTAACAGTTGTAAGTTGTGTTACTTAATAGATTGGTGCTTAATTAAAGTTACGTCCCCACAAATGCTTATGTGAAATTGAGGTTTCACCATAAAGCAATTGGTAATATGAGGTAAGTCATTTCTTTCTCTGACATGGAATTGATAGTCTCAACAAATTTGTTTGCTTATTTTATGGAAGATTTGTTGTTGTTTAATTTGCCTCCATAATCCATATATTAACAGTTGTAAGTTGTGTTACTTAATAGATTGGTGCTTAATTAAAGTTACGTCCCCACAAATGCTGCTGTGAAATTGTGTCACGTGCCTACAACTACAAGATAAGTATGCAAAAGGGTATTTGAGAAATTAAAAGAGGTACGTGAAAATTCACATGCCATGATCAAAAACAGCCATGTGATGTTTTTAACATCAATTGTCATCATCCCATTGGGGCTTCACGTACTCTAGCTGAGCTTTATACAAATTGGTTAGGTTGCCATTAACTGCCGGCAATTGGGTTTGCAGCTGTGCGGTCTGGAAACAACAATTCAAAGTATCAAATGTGACCGGCGTAGAAAGTTTGGCACAAATTCATTTGAGTGGGAGCTGAAACAGCAAAAATGAGCCTACTTCCATGCTTATTTGAAAGGAAGTGAACAAGATGAGCTATAAAACTGATCAGGTGGCCATAATTGAGGGTATATTTTGTGAAAAGGAGCTGGAAATAAATTTACATAAATCAAAGATATCAAAGAAACAATAACAATACAATAACCTTTTGTAATCCCTCATTAGAATTTCATGTGAGGCCTTGTTTATATTCCTGTAGTGGTGGTATATGTGTTATTATTGTTAAAGTTTCAAAAAGACGGATTGCAATCCATCACTAATCACATTGATATTGTCCCCATGTAATTATCCACGCCATCAATAGGTGTGAGATTTTTATATAAAAGGCATGAGTACAATTAGGAAGAAAACAACTTTGATATAAGTTGTTATTTGTTTTGTATCGTCCTGTGGACTGTTTAAATTATTGAACAATTACTAACTGGCCAGAAGTTCTAACTTCTTCACTAAGACGTTACAATGTGATTTAAATAGTTTGAATTTACCACACTTCAGATGATATTCACTACTCAATATCGAGCTCTATCAAACAGTGAAGTTAAACATATCAGGATTTAGGATGAAAAAAAGATTCAATATCATAGGAGGAAACAGAAACAAAAATAAATATATTTTATCTAGAGCATAGAAGGAATTCCTGTGGACATCAAAAGAGTGCGAAACATGGTCTGCAACAGCATGTGGAACTTCGTTGTAGCTTTCTGGGAGCGAAGTTAAAGACCACGCTCAAGTCCTTAAGCTGATACATAAATGTGGAATGTCATGGACGATGCCTTCAACATAAGCATTAATAATCTTGCTATACCTCTACAGTTTGATAGCATATGTGCATCAGATTCTATCTCAACCAGCAGCCCCTTTACTAATTGATAGGACTCCTTAGCTTTCATTACTCAGTAAAGTACCTCCCTACAATGATGTGTTACTCATGGCGTTATCTATATCCCATCACGGAAAGAATGATGTGAAATTGGTCACTTATTACATATAATTATTCTAGGTGTATGTGACGTTTTTTTGTTTCTTCAGTTATATACGCTAAAAAAGTTACCGAACATTATTCTGAACCGTGTAAATGAATAAGATGAAGGTACAACCGTGTAAAAAAATGCACATGGAACCAGGTTTAGATTATTTTTAAGGTTAAACTGTCCTCAATGGTATTTAACATGAATTGCAAGTGTTTGTTGCTTGTACATTCGTAAAACCTAAACTTTTCTGCTCTATTGATTCTGCTAGCTAGGCCTTGTTGTGTGTCCAAATATATACTCTGTTCTGATTAAAATATTAGTCATCATCAAGTTTACTAGCAAAGTAGCAATAGATGGATTGATTTCCATAGATAATTTATTCATCGAAGATACAAATTTGATTTGCATCTTCTGCAAACTGCATGGGTGTTCAGTACATCAATATTTCACCTCTATAGGTTCAGCTGGGTCAGCTAGCTCAAGACTGCACAAGTTGTCGAACATTCATCGGGAACATATATGTCAAGTTTCCTTCCATCATATACTTTGCTGTGACTAGGTTAGCAGCATCTGTTAAGTGAAATGAATCCCAAAATACATACTTTGATCTGTCAGGACAAACTTTTGAAAATGGACTGCAGCCGAAAAGTCCTCCATGGCGCCCGAAAAAAGAGCAGCATGCAGAAGTTGCGTCCACAAAACCTAGGAATTAAACACCGCAAATGAAGGTAATTAAATTAAGCCGCTAAATAAAGAGAATTCGGATAATAATTATAAAAAAATAAAAATAAAAAAATAAAAAAATAAAAAACTAATGAAAATGGTTTGAAAACTTTAATTTTAACGATAAGAACAAAATATAAGGTAAATTGAATAATACTATGATTGACCTTGTAGTGTAAAAATATAATTTTTCGTTAAATTGAACAGCACAGAGAATTTTTCGTTAAAATTTCCTTATAAAAAAGTACAACACATGCGCGAGCACACACACCATATGACACAAATTTTTGGATGATATCTTCCGTTGTTTTGTACGTATCCACGTAAACAAATTTTGCACCATCCAAATCTTTGTTAAGCTCCACGATCAGACTCTTCAACTTCTTGTTATACATCTGGGCCAATTGGTTGAATGGATCATAACACTTGCCTTCGGCAACAAAAAATATATCTTTAACAAACGGAGAACAGCCAATGAGTCCAACACTGTTGACCATAATCTTTCTAGCAGCCAAGTTGTAGAGTGTCTGGAAAAAAAAATGTTACGCAGATATTGAGTACTAGAGATTTTGGATAGTCCAACGTAATAAGTTCTTTGTTTCTTTTTTCTTTTTTCTTTTTTATGATGAAAAGTTGCTTTATTTTAACACAATAATTACATAAGAAAAAGCCCAGATATATACACATAAACAAAAAGAAGGACCTCATAAGCAACTAAAGAGCCCAAAACAAAGAAAATACCAAAACAAACTGTAGCAGCTTCAACCCACCGTCGCCGGAAAGCAGCTTACCAAACAACAGAAACAAACGTTCCCTACACACACCTGAAAACAAGCTGAACAGAGTCCCAAAACTAGAAGAAAATTGAGTGAAAACAGAACCCCATAACAAATCCCCAAACACCGTCGAGCACCACACCAGTAGCTGCAACATATCGGAAGAAGCTAGCGGGAAGAAGCAACTTGTTAGCAACAGGGCCAACAAAGTGAAACCCAAAATGAAGGAAGCTAGTGCGAAAGAGCAACCCACTAGCAACAATGCCATCAAAGGCAATCTCATGGAAGGATGTGGTGTGAACACCTGAACTAAAACTCTACACACTTTCCGTGTAAAACGCAAAAAATCACGGTACAAAGATGTAGAAGCCGAACCAGGATGTGAAGTCAAAGAAGGGTGGGGCTGATTGGGTTGAAGATGGAGTGAAGTGCTGAGGAAAATGTAGGAAAAATGAGAAATAGATGGAAAGAAGATGCAAGGAAAGGAAAAAGGAAGAAACGGAAAAAAGGGGAAAAAAAGTGGAAGGAAGGAAGAAGGAAAGTGGAAGGGAGGAGAGAAGGGAGAAAAGTGGAAAGGAAGTGGAAGGGAGGAAGGAAGCCAGGGAAAATGGGGTTATAGACAGAGAAATTAGGGGCACAAGAAGTTGGAAGAAAGTGGTAATCATGCCCCTGGAGAGGGGAAAACAGAAGCTCAGGGAGAAGGAAAGGAAAAGAAAAATGGAGAGAAGATCTTTTTTGGAGAAGAATACATAGTAAGTTAAATACTAAAGATTTTGGTGAGTACTCGAGATTAACATATTATCAATGTAGTGTTGCAAATTTAGAGAAAAATATCCTTTCTAGAAGTATTACATATGTATTAGCAATTGTACAGTGTAAATAAGTTTTTACCTGAAGTTGTGACCTGAATCTTGAGATCACGAAATCCAAAAACTCGTCTTGCGTTAGCTTGGATGTGTACGAATCCTTAGACAGTATATCGTTAGCGCCTAGTGCAATTGCATAGATTGATTTCCTCAACAATTTCTGAGTTGCAGCAACACCAATTCTTGACATTATGGCAAGCGTAATTCTCCCATGATATTTGAGTTGTGTGTCGAAACTGACTGTTTCACCCTATAGTATAGATATATATGTTTTTATTTACATCCATGATATTCCATGCTTTTAAATTCCAGTTCATCATATATAAAATTCTTTAATTATTAAAAATTTAATATAAAACTTTAATGATATATGTATACAACTCCTTCTGAACAAGGATGTCTTTGGATGAATAATTGAAAGGAATATCATTGTTAGGGGCTCCCTTCAATGAGATTCAATAATCATGACTTTCTAGTTTTTGGTTCCCCTTCAAGAATCATCATCCCTACAAAAAACTAGTGAAACCTAAAATTGTGTGAACATTTGATTATCATCATGCGCATTTTGTTTGATCTTTTAGAAAAATCAAGGTTTTGTCTATTGTTTGATGAATAAATGATTATGAATTTTTGTAGGGATGATCTTTGAATGAGTTCTTAAAAATTGAACGGTCAGCATGATCAAATTGCAGTTATGGTTGAATCACTTGCGATCTCTATTGGTGAATAGTAAGGATTCCTTCCCTATATCAATCAATATATAATCTCTTCTCTCTCATTTTGAATTCAATTTGAATGAATTCTAACTTAATATATTGATCATTAACGAACATAATTAATATATACACCAGACATATAAGTTCCTCGGTACTTATTTTATGTACATTGAAGCCGCATGCATTGAAAGCAAAAGAACAGGTACAACTCGACAAGCAGATATTATTGGCAGCCAAAAAAAAACATTGTTCACTCATTGTAAGTGTAATATAATACGTTTGGTGTGCCAATAAAAACACTCATTCGATATACTTTTTACTTTTTTTTCTTTTTTTTTGTTAGACTAAGGGCTGGTTTGATATTGCTGTGCTTTGAAAAAAAGCTGCTGTGAGAATAAGCGGCTGTGCTGTGAGAATAAGCGGCTGTGAAATAAATCAGCAGAGTGTTTGGTAAACTTTTTTGTAAAAGTGCTTTTGGAAAAAAAAAACAGTCTAATATTGGGTCTTTTCATTAAAGAAACACTGTAGCTCCATATGCTTTGAAAAAAAACCAGTTTTCCAAAGCTACAAATAGCAGCTTCAGCTTTTTCCTTTGATTTCAGCTTATTCTCACAGCAGCTTCCAAAATAAGCTCTTTTTTTTCAGTTTACCAAACACCTAAAACCCTCACAACTTTTTTTCATGGGTGCTTTTTTTTAAGCACCTCACTCCCAAACTAGGTCTAAGTAGCTTCCTTCAAATTTAACAAAGCCAAAAACCCCTAGTTGATTTAATTTGGTAGAGAACTTACATATTGTGATCCAGTGGAATTAAAAATTCCAGAGGCAGATGCAGCATAATTGACACCTTGTAGAATCACGTCTCCAACGGTAGTTGGAGCTAAGTAAGCAGGAGAGAAATTTTTGAAACCCACTTGCTGTTCTGTTCCAATAAATCAAAGAAATAGTGATTAGGGTGTAGAAACAGAAAGAATTGAAGATTATAATTCCAAGGGATGAGGGTTTAAAAAAAATGAAAACTAATGAAAAAAGCTTAAAAACTTTGAGTTTTAACGATAAGGACAAAATAAAGGGTAAAGTGAATAGTACCAGGTTTGACTTTTTAGTGTAAAAATGTGGTTTTTTGTTAAAGTGAACGGGACTGCGGACTTTTCGTTAAAACTCTTAAAAAAAAAGCTAGCCAGTTTTATGAGTATCACAAATACGTACGAAGAATGTCAAAAACAGTTCTGCCATTTGTAAATCGTCCTGTTGGATTCCCAAAATCGATTCCATTGGGAATGGTATTCGCCTTTGCTGCGGTTGCAACGTAGTTGTTATTTCCCACATCTGCCGCAGAATCGCCAAAGATGAAAAAAGCAGGAACACTTTGGGCAGATGAGCAAGTCATCACAAACAAGTAGACTACGCAAATATGGAACGTAATATTAATATTCCCCATGGTCAATACTAATCTAGCAGGAAATTGGATTTTAAGTTGCACAATTAGTAAGAGTATATATATAACATTTTGAATCCCTTTTCTTTGAGAAGCAGCGCACAAAACCCGTGTTAAATTTGTGCCAAACTCGATCTCTAGGCTGGCTGAGCACACTTGGATACTTTGATTTGTTGGTTTGCCACATAATCTATGTCTGAACACTTGCATGTGTTATTAACTACTTGTTAGGTTCACGCTCAGAGGCGGAGCCACTGATGGACTAGAATGGTCCAGGGCCATCTTGCCTTTCTTGATGCTACTTGAATAAAAAATAAAAAATAAAAAAAAAAAAAAAGTCGTACCCAGTGCACAAGGCTCCCGCTTTACGCAGGGTCTGGGAGAGATGCTACTTGAATGCCATTAAAATTTAAGTGTGTCCCTTCTCTTGATGCTACTTATCAGTCGAATATCATTAAAATTCAAGTGTGCCCCTTCTCAATCCAAACTCTCTTTTCCTTTACAGGTCTCATTTTTTCACTCCATTTCTCTTATTTCCATGCAAACTTCGCTTCCTCTCCTTTTGCTATCAACTTTTCTTTTTTACTTCCTTTAGTCCTTTTGTTATATTTTTTAATTTTTCTTGCGTAACTCTTTACCTTGTGTTCAAGTGTTTGAGTTTCTACAATGTTTTTTTAGCTCTTTGTATTGAATTTGAACGTCTTTCAATGTTTGTGGAATTTACTCTAATTTTTCATGTTGTGAGGCCCCTCCTCACATGAAATTCTGGATCTGCCACTGTTGATGCTTAATTAAAATCGTCTCACCATAAGCAGAAATCAGGCTTTAACATCAAGTTGAGCCAGTGGCGTCGGTTACTGGCGCCACTCATCCTTAATTAGGGGCTTCACATCCGCTAGCTTTAGATTTAATTGCCATCAATTGGCTTTATAGCTGTCCAGCCTGGCTCTCTGGTCGAAGTTTTGTGGAGGCAAAGCAACAAATCAAAGTGGCTATAGAGAGTTTGGCACACATTTAGCCCATGTTTGGTGCAGCCCTCTTAAAAGAAAAGAGAAATGCTGTGGATTTAGAATTGTTTGCTCGCTTGATATATCGCCTGGTTTGCTCGCTCGCTTGTCTTGTCCGCCTAAGAGAGTGTTTTTTTTTTTTTTGGCTCGCTTAATGAAGCTTGTATTGCATCTGCATCCATTTGTTGGAAAACTCATGTCGTGCATCGTGAATAAATTTATGTTTCAACATAAAATTAATTGGCAGTATGGAGAGTAGCCTAACTTACTTATAAACCCAAGCACGGTCCCTCATCTCATCAATGTGAGATTCATTCTCAACATACCACCATCAGTTTGATAGGGGTGTTGAAAAAAAATTAGTTATTTAGTTTATTATTGTTTTCTAGTTTTCTTGTGTACATGTTGTTCGATTTTGAAACTAAAATCATGACTTGACTCTAGCCAAGAGATTTAATCATGTAAAGAATTTATCGTTGGGCAATTAGATTTCTTCCAATTCGATTGTGAATGGAGAAAGAAAATGTCTCCGTCGAGGGTTCTCTATGTCGATAGATTTTTCCAAGTATTAGGTATTTAAGCGATACCTTATTTGTAGTAATACAAGTGAAGAAAATCATATATTTTCTATAATCCACTTATTTTATTACACGTGAACTACCTGCTATACCGGCACTTTGAAAAATTTCTCCTCCATATCTTATGTACAAGGTTTTCGTATAAGTGTTTTTAATCTTCAAACTATGGGAATTGTGGCACGATGTGTGAATTTGAATGTCCTAGTGATGGAAGAGACATCACTAAGACTGAGGTACTTGCATGTGATAGTTATGATAAATGTGTGGTTGAGATTTGATTATTCATGGTGCAATAGGTGATGTGTATGTGCTGTAAGTTCTATATGAGAGCAAACACTTGGTGATTTGATTAAAGACATTTGGAATGGTAAGGAGATTAGGATTGACATTTGTGATAGACTTATCAGGAATTGTATTTCTTTAGAGTTTCAAGTCAGATACATTCTCAGTTAAACTAGAACTCTTCTAGCTGATATAATGCATAAGTGTTTCACGATGATAAGGCTGCTCTTTGATAAGGATCACTTAATGGGAGGGATTCTTATTGAATTCCATCGTATGAAGTATAAAATTGAGGTCCCTGCTCTCTCACTAAATATGCAAGTTTACGAAAAACTCAAGCCCCATTGAGCGAGCCTTGCTTTCAGTTGTGTAGAGTTGCAAAAGAACTTCAGTTTTTCAATCCTAGTTCTCTGAAACGATGTCTTCCACAGGTAAGTGGTTAAGTTCATAACTGTGAATAAGTTTTTGCGTTGCACTATTTACTTACATTTGGTATCAGAGCCCTTCATATATCATTTAACCCTATGTTAAAGGCATCAAGAAATTTTTCTTTGTCCCACAGGTTACAAAACTGGTAGTATATCATTAGGGAAATATATATGAACACGATCAAGTGATAGCTAAAGCTATCCTTGATCATAAAGACATAAATTTTCATTTAGATATCAAGACATGATCACTAGTCGTCTAAAGAAGATCATTCTTTCATGCTTAGAATTTAAGTAGTATATCACTTTATATACGAATGTTTGAATCGAATTACTATTGTCAAACCACAAAGGTTTGTAATTTTGATTACAAAAATTCGAATGTTGGTTATAAAGGTGATATGATTAAAGAAAGTCTTCACAAGTTCATCAATCCAAGGATGTTGAAAGGGTGATTTATAGTCTGGGGATTTAAAGATTAATACTTGAACTATGTGTTTTGACAGTTATGAATCCTAGCTCTATGCACCTTAATACAATTGAACCACTCACTGGTGTCAACTATAAGAAATGGAAGCAAGATCTTGAGATCGTGCTAGGTGTCATGGATTGGGACTTAGCACTTAGAACTGAAGAGCCCCCTACACCAACAGATGGAAGCACCTCAAGTCAAAAGTCTAAATATGAAAAGTGGCACAAATCAAATAGAATTTCCTTGTTGATTATCAAAAGAAGCATGACTGATGTGGTTTGAGGATCCTTCACAGATGCTACCAATGTAAAAGATTTTCTCAAGTCCATTGAGCAGAAGCACCAAGAGTCACCAAAAACTGAGACAAATGCTACCAATGCAAACGATATCCTTAAGTCCATTGAAGAAAAGTACCAGGAGTCACCAAAAATTGAAACAGGTAATCTCATGAATTCACTTACAACCATGAGACATGATGGCATAGCAAGTGTGTGTAATACATTTTAAAAATGGTGGACATCGCTGGAAAACTCAACGCTCTCGAGGTACTAATCCCTGAAACTTTCTTGGTACATGTGATATTGAATTCCCTGCCTGATAGTTATACACATCTCAAATTGTCCTACAATGCATTGCGTGAAAAGTGGGATGTGAATGAGTTAATTTCAATATGTGCGAGTGAAGAGGAAACGATGAAAAAGTCTGAAAATTAGAAGATTGAGTCTTTGAACTATGTACGAAGTACCACCGAAGCACATACACCCCTAACTACCGATGCTACTAGAAAGAATTCTATCAAAAGGGTTCCCTCTCCTAAAAGAAACACAACCTAACAAGCCATCGATTCTCAAACGTTATTTTTGTATAAGGCTTGGCTTGCCACATGAAGAAAGGTTAAAAAAAAACAAAAATTTACTTGTTTTGAGTCTAATTTAATTGATATACCTAGAACTAAATGGTGGCTTGACTCTAGCTTTTCTATTCATGTTACGAATTCATTGCAGAACTTCATAACAAGGAAAACACCAAATAAGGATGAAGTGAAAGTTTCAGTTTGCAATGGAAGAAGAGTTGAAGTTAAGGCTTTAGGAAGTGTTAGGCTAAAGTTAGGATTTGGATTTTGTTTAGAATTAGAAAACATTGTCTATGTGCCTTCCATGAGAAGGAAGTTGATTCCGTTTCAAAATTAGTTTTGATGAGTTTTTATTTTACTATAAATAATATTGGCTTCAACATATTTTACGAATCTTCTCAAATTGGTACTGATTTTTTGAATGATGGCATGTTTCGAATAAAACTCAACAAAGTCGAATTTATTTTAACATTCAAAATGAACATACTAAGACTCAACAATCATCAAACTTATAGCAAAAGAGGCTAGCTCATATGTCAAAACAAAGGATGAAGTTACTTGTCAAAAATGATATTTTGCCTCCAGTAATTTTTTTTAATGATTTTGAGTTCTGTGTGGATTATGCTAATGGAAAAAAAGACAAGTAGTAGAAAGAAAGGTTCAACAAGAAGCAAAGAAAGTTTAGAAATCATCCACACGGACATTTGTGGTATTTTTTCCCACGCAAACTATAGAGGGACATAAATATTCCATAAACTACTTTTTCTCGATTTAGTTTCATCTATCTAATTTCAGAAAATCAAATGCACTTGAAACTTTAAGATTTCAAAAGTGACATTGAAAACCAATTGGAAAGAAAAATTACGGAGGTTAGGTCTGATAGGAGAGGTGAATACAATGGTAGATACACTCAACCTAGCAGACATCTTAGTCCATTTGCCTTTTTTCTACAAGAAAATAGAATTGTAACTATAATAACTACACTGGAAACCCCGAGCAAAACGAAGTGGCTGAGAAAAGAAGTAGAACCCTAATGGACATAGTAAGGAGTATGATTTGTAAGACTAATCTACCAAGTTGTTTATGGAGTTAAAGATGGACGATCATGAAAGTACAAGAACCGAAAATTTCATTTGAAGAAGATGGTCAAATGGAGATTAATACTGAAATGGCCAAATGGGGATTAATATTGAGCCAACACCGACTGTAGCAATAGTGGTTGAACTTCCAAGTCAAGTGGAAGAAAATGAGGGCAATGATAATTACAATTTTCAGCATGGAAAAAATGATGTGTTGTTGCATGGTGAGCAGCAAATTCGTCATCATACAAGGCACGTGGAGGAATGAGTTTCAAGTGGCAATGACCACCGACTGAAGCATGACATAGAAATTGAGGTGTTGTTAGACGGTGAACCGCATGCA